TTTGGGATTTACAATCTTTGGACAAGATCAAAGGATTTTTAAACCAGTATTTATATAGATTTATTAAAATATTGTTAGATTATACATATTTCTAACACGCTAGGGATTTTGTGAGTCAAATGGATAGGTTTTTCACTAATTTGGAAGCGCATACTGACTTCTTGATGTGAACCGGAGGCCGGAGTGAGGTCCATGAGAGATTCCGGTGAGCCCAGAACCTGTTTCAGCCCAAACCAGAAGAGCTCTAAAGGCAGGCTTGGTGTACTGATGGAGGTGCATTCAGCCATGCGACATGGCTTGTGCACTACAACAACACTAATAGACCCCAAAAATAGCTGTAAATGATATTGGATGCTGAGCGTGAAATCCTGGGTATAAATTGCTGATGACTAGTTGTCCAGCAGTAATGCAGAGGGAGAGCGACGGCCCCTTCATCATCGCCATCAGGCGGAGGTGAATGCTGGGAAATGACTGGTCCCCACACTGACCCAGTAACTCCAGCTGCCTTTGCTGCCCACACATGCCGATTAGCCCCCTTTTTTAAAGGTGTCAGTCCTTTGAGCTCCCAAAAGTCTTAAAGGGGAGCCAGGTTTGCCTTTAAAGGACTGTGACCCAGGGCATCGAATCACCTCTTTTTCTTTTAGCATAATTTAATCTCAGACCAAGGGTGGCTTGGCCGCGAGTTGGAGTAAAGCGTTTAAAATCCAAACAGCACCCTCCACTGAGATACGTTTTTCTTTTAGCTACTATTTCTAAAATAAAATGTATTTTTTGAAGACATGTTCTTCAAGAGGCTCTTAAATCTTAGACTTTATGAGAATAAAAGCTCTTAAATCAATCACAGCTAATCTAATGTAATATAATGCCACGAACCCAGCAACCTATTTGCGGCTGAGCTCACACACCATTCCATCCACCCCCCCACCCAGCTGGTGCTTTTTAAGCCTAAACAGGGAAGCAATGTAACAAGCACCAACTGCGTTTTATTGGGCTATTTACTTGCTGGCCTGAGGTTAGTGATCAGTCTGATTCTTTGTGTAACCCATCTGCCTCCCTCTAAGCGGATAGTGCTCTTCAAAATAGCTTTTTCGGTTGTCTATATCTATATTTGTGTCCAATTTTGCTTCCACGTTTATTTGTGCATCTTGTGGCTGAAGAGGCAGCGTGTGGCTCTGCAGGTTAGGACTCTGTGCCTGTGATTGGAAGGTTGTCGCTTCAAATCCTGTGGATGGTTGTATGATCATATGGAGCTCTGGGGCAAGGCCCTTAACTCTGACAGCTGGATGGAGCGGTCTGCTTCCATGCTGTGATCTCATCTGTCTCCGGCTATGTAGAAATTGAGGGAAGTGATGGTTTGCTGCCCCATGCTGGCTTGTTCCCTGCCTTGTGCCTGTAGGTTCTGGGATATGCTGGCTTGTTCCCTGCCTTGTGCCTGTACAGTAGGTTCTGGGATATGCTGGCTTGTTCCCTGCCTTGTGCCTGTAGGTTCTGGGATATGCTGGTTTGTTCCCTGCCTTGTGCCTGTAGGTTCTGGGATGGGCTCCAGTGCCCTGTGACCCTTAATAGGACAAATGGATGCCTCTCTAGGTTTCTTACTTTTCTTATAACAAGCTCAAGTGGCTTTTCATGGCACATATTAACAGCAAGTTAAAATCAATGCAAGGCTACAAGCAGAAGCACCAACAATGAGAACCAAAGCAGGAATAGCAGTCACTCCTACCAGCTGAAGTCACATGATCTCATCAGCTTTTAGGAGGTTCATCTGGAGTGCTTCTGAAGAACAGAGGTGCCCGCGTTTGAAACCAGGAGGTATATTTTGCTGGAAGGAGGTAGAGGTGATGAAAGACTTTTTGAATGTGAAGTATTACGCAGCAAGAGTGCAGACAGACATTGAGCTTAGTAGCAGAATCTCACACAGTCCTACGCCTTCCAGAACTATGAGAATACAAAACGGATCCCAGTAAGATAGAGAGAAATAATATGTCTACATTGCACATGTAGAGTTTGTCTGGCCTCTATTAGAATTACCAGAGCTGGTGACAGACTCCCATCCGTCCGTCCGTCCGTCCGTCCGTCCATCCGTCCATCCATCCATTCATCCATCTGTCCATCCATCCATCCGTCTTCCAGCTTCCAGCTGTTAATGTGTCATTGAAAAGAATGAACTCTTTGTTGCTCTTCATGAAGACAGACTTCTGAGACAAACGAGACAAACAAACAAAAATCCTGGGAAGATTCAGCTGAATATTCCTCTCCATACAATTAGAAAAAAAATCTTTAATATGTGCTTTGTAAGTATGAATGGAATTTTAAAATGCACCCAAGCTTCATTCTATGAAATGAAAAGGCCGCAATTTATTTGCAGATCTCTGATTTGGTTTTGGCTGCACTGTGCCTCACACCTCCCAAAAAATTTGCCTGAGATTTCCTCTCTTTCAGAAATCCAGCTGCCGCTGTCCCCACAGCCCAGATGCGCGGTGATGTCTGCTCAGCTGCCACCCCCCCGTCCCCACATCGCAACTAATGTGATCTGTCAGTGAAACATCTCGCATCCGGGCCGCAGTGACCGTTTATCCAAACGCATTCCGATAGCCTGAAATTACTTTCTTGATTTTCTCGTTGCCTCAGAATGAGACCCTTTGGCTCGGGACATCGTCCGGCATCGGCTAACTTGATTTCATTCTGTGAATCCGCTGATGGGAAACTGTGCAACTGAGCAGTTATTCGGCTGTTATTCAGGTTAAGAGCCCTGAGTGGGATTTGAGCTGAGAGCCAGCCGGGGCAGCTGCTGTACATGGCAAAACGCGATAATGATCAATAACAGAGCGGCATAATCACTCTGTGTGGTTTTTGTTAGCAATGACTGCATTTGACCGAACCATGTAATGCGGATGACATTTGATAACAATAGCTGTTGTTTGAGGTTTGGACAGCCGCTGAACATTTCTGCATTATTAAATATCCAACCAGCACTGGCAGTGAGTAACTAGATAGACTTTTACACGCTGAAATAAAAATGCTAATGATTGGATGAGTCTGGGTGGCTGTTTCACATGCGTCGCTCAGGGCAAATCTGGGGTTTCTATTGCGCCTGTCCTGGAGGGATGTTTTCCTGCCAGACTGAAGCACTCAAAACAATGAAGGCAAAGTGACGGTATCGCGATGGTGGCCTTAACCCGGCACCCGGCTGTTGAGGGCTCTTGAGTTTATATATGGATCCTCTCACTGAAAGTGCAGTGACTTCATGGATGAATAACCAGACATGAATATGAAGTGCTGCAGTATCGAAGTGTGAGTTGACTGAGACCCTGATCCCATCTTTACGGATTAGTAAAGAATGCAGCTTATATCATCAAACTGTGAGTCTTTCCAAATTCAGCCCGGTTGACCCTTATTTGCCCCATTAAAATATTCCTCAGGATCTGTCAGTGTTCACTGTTTTCTTTGCAAGTGGAACTGTGGAATTTAGGTAGCAATAATCCAGTGTGACCAGACAGCATCCCAGAATGTCCCTTGCTGAAGATATGGCTGAACTGAATAATCATCACATGTGCTGTGTCTCCTGTTTCACACCCAAACACACAGTACCAGTGAATACACCCCCCTGCCCAAAGCTTGGCAATCAGGGAATCACTATGCGGAGGGTGGGGGGGGGATCTCAGAACTATAAACAATAATACTAATGAATATTTCAGTCCATGGTTTCATGAATGTAAATAGGAAGGACCCAGAAGACTTCATCATGAAGATTCATTCAACTCAAAAGTCATCAAAGAGGGATGAGGCTTTTAATTAGTTTACTCACCCAGCTGAGCTCACCCAAGTCTTTTTTGCCTTAGGGGCGTAGGTTGTATTTAAAGTTTAGCAGCATTAATGTTATTATATTAATTAAAGTATCACTATATTTTCAGTATTTCACATCCTGAAAGCCCTCCCTTCTAGTCATTGTCTCTGCAAAGCATATTGTATATCCCTCATCAGCCTACAAATATCAGATGAGTCACCAAGAGATTGGCATTGTGTAGACAGTCATCACTGTATATTTACCGCAGTAACAGGATTTGGCACAAACAGTGGTATGGGGCAGTCTGTCTCTCTCTGCCACTGGCTCAATATCTGTCTGTCCTGATTTATGGAGAGTGAAAACAGACCTGTATTAATGGCATTTTCCTTTTGAAAATTTGCTACATTGTTGTTTAGGAAGTCTGGTGAGATAATATCGATGCACCGATTTCGGCACTAGATGGCGCGGTGGTAAAGGTTGCAGCCCCTTACCAGGGTTATAAACCTAAATTGCTCCAGTAGAATATCTGGCTGTAGCAATTGCGAGTTGTCCAGAATAAAAACATTCGCTAAACAGTTTTTTGACTCAGTTTATGAGTCAGGGTGTTATTGTGATTATGTGTGTTTTTCAAGGCTGAGGACATTGAAGAACATTAGGTTCTGCCTCCCAAACGTGGTGGCCACATGGGTGTCTCACCCAGGTCCTCCCTCTCATAATCTGGACATGTGATATAAAGGCGGCATCAAAGAAATCACCTACGAATTTCTAATGCATGTAAATGAATGTCTTTCATTGCCGTATTGGGATTTATTATGGTGAATCTAACAATTTATTACTAAATTTATTACATGATTTTTCTGTGTTTGCGCATGTGTGTTGACAGCTCGTATTTCCTCGTGGGGGGGGGGGTGGTCTTTGAGCAGAGTCTATTCCTCAGTGAAAACTCCATGTTCCAGATTTTCAGCAAAGTCTGTGATCAGAGACTCGGATTCAGGCCAGGTAATTATATGAACGATGCGTGAAGTCTGGGAAATTGGTAGCAATCGGATGAGTGAAACCGAACGTGGGATGGCGGTGGGGTGTGGGCGGGCCGCGGCGGGTGTGAATCAGCACTAATGAGGCTCTCGAGGGGGCTCTCCTCTCACCGTGGAGACACGGGAGCGCCCCCTGCAGTCTGTCCTTGCACTTAACATGCCTCTCTCTCCTGTTTTTGCAGTCAAACCGACGGTGATAGACGTGGACATATACGTGAACAGCATCGGCCCAGTCTCATCCATAAACATGGTGAGTGTGCTCCTGCCTTTACCAGCAGCTCCCACGGTCATGAGTGCATGTGCCCCGCTGCGCCACCAGAGCTTCAGTTTGCATCTCGTGAGACTTTGTGGGATTCGAACATGTGTCCAGGTGGGTCGAGGATCTACTGGAAGAGCCCGTCTGCCAAACACAAAGTGGGGTTTAAGAAATACGAGGAATGACATTTATCCACAGCTCACCAAACATTGTTATCTTGGTTTAATGCATTGCATGATTCGAAGAGCTGAGAATATTTTATATAAACATGCTGGCTGCACTTGGATTTGTTAAGCTCTTCCGGAAGAACCAAACATCCAATAATTTTTCAATGAAAATGACATTTTATGAAGAAATGTCATAATGCTGTGTTCAGGTGTGCGGAATTCACAAGCGAGATGCTTCTATAGGAGATGGTTTGCTCTTGTGTTTTCAGCAGACGGACAGACCAAAGTACTGAGTAAATGATACAAAATAGCCATAAAAAAACAATAGCCAAACAACATGTCATTGTCTGAAAACAGGCGCCCTGCTTCTGCAGGGGATACTACATTTTCACCTGAGCACCGCAAGAATAACTTAATTTGACGTTTGGCCGGAAGCTCTGTTTGCTGGGATGAAAAACGCTGCCGTTTCTGTCAGCGTGGTCCCAGAGCTTTGCCATCTTAGCTTAATTGTCAGCATGTCCTTTCAACCCACGCTGTGGCGCCCCCTGTGTTCTGGGTCGCCGGGACGCTCCAGGAGAGTCGCGAGGCCTCGTCTTTGAGCTGCCGTGGCTTTGGGATTACCCAGAAGGCACTGCTTCATTTGTATAGTTATGTCTTCGCCTGTGGCGGGAGGAATGGAATGGTAGTCCTGGTGGGCAGTGAACAAACGTGCGGATGGACGTCTGATCTTCTGCCGTTGAGCTGTTTTGGCCCGAGTGGCCGGGTTGAAATTGAAAATTACATTTTTACGAGTACAAAGAACAACAGTAAAATGTCCCCTATGCCGGATAGATAATGACGCCATGTGTATGGACATAAGATGCACCACCTGTGGATGCCGATTAACACAGTTGTTTAATTTTTTCCATCCTATTTTCTATGTTAATATTAGTTATAATTTAGTACCATAATTATGCCATATTATTTTGTCAAACACTGTCAGAAAAACTACTCATTTGCTTAGGCTGGGTGTGGAAATTAAGTACTTAAGAGTCATCTATAACCGATCCTTTAAAAATATATGTATTTATTAAATTATTGGGTTTGAAATATTGCCAAGCATCTGAAAGGGAAACCACATTGGTAAGTATAGTTAATTAAGCAGTAGTATTTAGCTTGTGCACTTTGAAAGATCGGCCCTCAGTCCTGGACATTTTGTTCAATATTTGTTTCTTTAATGAGCAACATTACAGAAGATGATTAGAAAGGCTGAACAGAGTCTCAGTTTGTGAGAAGGCTGGTTTCCTGTCGTGCAGTGAGTTTAGAGACGAGGCAGGTACCCCTTAGAGGTGTGTGGGTGTGTTTAAGGACAGGCTCGACGGGAAGGCAGGGAAAAGCACGTAATTAGCCTCAGTGCTGGGCACATGAGGCAAATATCAATGAATAACAGTGTCATGGCGGAAGGGGGTGGGGGCTGTTTATAGGTGTGAATGTGAAATCCACATGTCATGATTAAGCAGGACGACATACTGGTATGTGTGAGATTTACTGATGCAGGCCTTGTCCATTACATGGCATCAAATGATGGTGATCAGATTATTATTACAAAAATGTAGGGTTGTAGTGTGTGTGTGTGTGTGTGTGTGTGAGTGTGTGTGTGTCTACGTATAGACAAGTGCACATGACTGTAGCACACCCTGCCCCCCCACCTTTCGTCCCCCCCGCCCAGATGCATTCCACAATCAGTGCAGAGTCACATGGAGGGGCCTCTAATGTGTGACTTGCTGAGGGTAGCAGGCCCTGCTCCATGGCGCCCCCTACTGCATTATCCCCTCAAAAACCCACATGCTTACACACACTGCCCTGCAGGCCACCCGTTTTGCTCTTAAAACTGCGCTGGAAATCGCCACTCATGTTTGCCTGGCTGAACGATTAAGGCTTGGATCTATGGGGACAAACAGCGGGCTGGACCATTCCTCACTTCAGCAAATGGACGCACCTATGAGACCTCGCCAGTAGATTGTAGCCATTTCAGGCATGGGGGCTGAGATTGCAAGCTGCAGTGTAGGTGTCTCTTCCAGATGGTAACTGCTGGCACCTTGGCCCCCCACTCATGGACAATCGCTGGCACACTTCTTTGATCCAGTTAAGGTCATGCTGAACTTGGCAGCCGATGGAGGGGAATCATCTGAAGGCCTAAGCAGCTCCGAGTCGGGGGTGAGACCGGTTCGGCCGGAAGGAAGTATCCGGCAGTGCTGGGAGAATGTGGCGGTGTGAACAGGACCTCTTCCAGTTAGGAGACATGGAACACAGCCCGATGCACGGAGGTGGAACAAATCAACAATGTGAGTTTAGCAGGAAACACAAAAGTGCTGAATGGGCAATGAGAAGAATGGGGGAGGACACTGGGAATGGTGTCTGCGTGGGATCCAGGTTACTGGGGCCAAAACTAACTAAGAACACACCAACACATAATACCCTGGAGAGTCAACGTGGGACAAGTCAGAACAAATAAAAAGACTTTCCCCCAATGGCCACATACCAGTTCAGCCCTCCATCACGGATGTGGAAGGAAACCTGCAGAACCCCCCAGAGCTGGATCTGCACTCAAACTCACAGCCCAGGAGGAGAGCACCTTCTGATACACCAGGAGAAGGACGCTTTGCAGACAAGCCCGCTTTTCCAAGAGAACAGGGACACGTCAGCAGTATTCTTGCCTCCAAAAAGTAACTTCAAAGTTTCTCAAAGGTGTTGCACTTCCTTTCGACGGAGACACTGAAAAAGCAAGCAGAGCTTTTCATTGGCCATTAGTGCCATGTGAGATTATGCACGCTTGTGGCTAAAAAACGCCACGGATGAGTGTTATAACAGCTGACATGCGGCACGTAAACAAAAGCTCATGTCAGAAACTGCATGTGCTGAGTGCTTCGCGAAAAACCTGCAGACGCCAATGTGTCACGTTGTCAAACATCCTACGTACTGCCAACATCGAAAAAATGACTAACGTCGCTAAATACTGCTAATGTCAAAAAATGACTAACATTACTACATACTGTTAATGTCTAAAATGACTCAAGTTTTATGAAGGCGGTACGGTCAGCTTAATGTAGACCTAAAGTGTCTAGATCTGCTGTTGCAAGAAAAGGCTGTTGTGTTTAAAGTGGAGTGGGAATCACTGGAGACACAGCTGTCTTAGGGGCGTCAGGTGACTGAGAAGCCCCGTATCGATTGGCTATTCCTGTCTCTCATTCTTAGAGATAGTCCCCGGTAACCCCAAGCAGATAAAACCCAGATGAGAGGCCTTTTTTTTGCCTTTCTGGCAGAAAAACATTGTTTTGTTCTTCAGGCTTGTGTTTACACCTCCCAGCCCATTTCCCATTTGTCCATGAACAGGAGGAGGTAACTCTCTGGTCAGCTGGTAAATTCGCATTTTATGCGGCCCTGTGCATGGAAGCTGACTGCTCACACCCCCCGATGGGACTATATTGTCAAAATGTTAGAGTAAATAACAAAGTTAAATTCAATTACCAGCCACATGAGTTTAGAACTAGAAATTGACAGATACTGTATCAGTTATGGTGAATAATTTTGTTTATTACTCAAGTATGCTCTCCATATTTCAGCCAGTTCTCAATTTCATGCCTTTTTAATGACCACCAGGGCCCAAATTAAAATCTCAGAAAGCACAGTTCCTACCTCCCTCCTCGAGCAGATCAAGCTGAGACAGCCTCAGCTAGGATTTGTCTTTAAGGGGGGCCAGTTTGTGAGATCGAGAGACCTCGAGGATATCGTGAACCTGGCAGGAGTGATGCTTTAGTGTGCAGTGAGCCCAATGTGCAGATTGATCACACATCAACGGGCCGTGATTGATCATGTGTGGCAGATAAATCTAGATTGGCATTACAGTGCAGTGCGTTGAGGGCGACGTCATCTGAGGTGTGTCAAAACATCAGGCACAGTTCTGGAGCGGTGTAATCAGTACGGAAACGTACACAGACGCCCCCAGCGAAGGGAGGTCATCATAGATCGATAGACCCAGGTAGGCATGGAGGCAGAAAAGGTGCAGATCTATCTGCCATTTCTCTAAAATGAATGACCTCAGAGGCAGGAGCCTCTTTAGGGTGCAATGCTAAGGATGCTATCTGCCTCCTTCCCGCCCCTGGAATGTCCCCAAAGGCCACGGTGACATTGTTTAAAGTCATCTGCTCGCCATGTGAGAGAGTGGGAATCTGTAGAGGACCCGGGTGACTGGAAGGTGACGGTGCTTTCCGCAAGTCTGACGTCATCTTCTCCGGATCAGCACGGCTGTGTTCTGCAGAACCTGGAGGGCATGCAGCTTAGCACTGCCTTAGGCGCAGAGGGCATGCAGCTTAGCACTGCCTTAGGCGCAGAGGGCGTGCAGC